ATCTTTGTGAAAAGAAATCGTCCATCGTTAAACAGGGGTGGAGGCCTACGTGTTCAACTGTCCCCCTCTTACAATGCTGTGATTGCTAGTATCACTCAGCCCTCTGTGAACAGTAAACAGCCATCAGTGTGCTAATGATCCATTGTTATGCTGATGGTCCTTCTTGAGCATGTGATCAGCTGGTTTTGGTTGTCAGCAGCAAAACTGGTTGATCCACTCTGAGAAGGTGCTATTTAAGAGACTGAGCTGAATACAGCACCTCAGACTGAGGAAGTCTCTTGGATGAGAGACAAAACGTTTCTACATTTTTTTGTTGTTTTGCTTTGCTTCGTTTTTTTGAATGTCCAGAGGACCAGATTTAACTTTTTTAGATGACAGCAGAGATGTTTTATTTTTAGCTTTATACAGACTCTTTAACTTTAACATACTCTAAACTAGGGTTTCACAAACTGTTTGGGTTCAGGGACCCCCTCATAACCCTCATGTTTATTAAATAATTTTCTTCAGTTTTCTTTTTAATGCAATGGGAATATCTGAGTAACATAAATACCGGTACTTTAGACCTGCTCTTTATTAGTGTTAATACAATTTTTATACTTTTAAACATGGGGCATTTTTCATTCAAGACACACTTAATTAACAAAATGTTTAATGTAAACTTCCTAAAATGACAGGTTTGAGATAATTAACAGCATAATAAACCACTTTAAAACTTTACCTATTCACATAATGAACATAGTAAATGTATTGTCACTTCAAATTATTACAGAGAACAGAATCATAACAGCAGTAGTCATATCAAGTAACGGGGCTTAATCTATAAGCCGATTGATGCCGGAACGCAAATAGCGAGCGGGCCGGTGAAGGGGGTGGGGTGCACGGGGGCTCTGGGGGTCCTCCCCAAAAATATTCTGAATAAAGTAGATGTGATTTTCTCCATTTTGTTGTATATTAACGGGTTGTTAAACATCTACCTGTTTGTAAAGAAAAAAAAAAAAAATATATATATATATTTATTTTATTTTTTTATGCGAATCCCCAAGCACCGGCTCGTGGACCCTCAGGGGTCCGGGGACCCCAGTTTGAGAACCACTGCTCTAAACCAGTGGTTCCTAACCGTGGTCCTTGTGGAACACCGTCCTGCATGTTGTAGTTGCTTCCCTGCTCCACCACAGCTGATTCAGTGATTTAATTACTTCCTCGTGTTCTGCAGAAGCTTGTTGTCAGAGTCAGAGTTTCTTTCTTTGTCATTCGCATCACATGTGGTACATGTGGTGGAACGAAATTATGAGCACAGGGTCCCAGTTACATCCAACAATAAAAAGTAAAAGAAAAACCGTAATAACATCTAAGATACGAACCAAGAAAAACATCAGCTAAAATACGTTAAGCACTAGTAGTATAAAAACAATAACAGCAGCACGAACATGAGTCTGTGTTAATCACCCATTAATTAAAATCAGGTGTGTCGGAGAAACAACTAAAGCATAAAGCATGAGGATGGTGTTCCTCAAGGACCAGGGTTGGGAACCCTGCTCTAAAGAGTCAGATGTTGTTTATTGCTGCTCAATTTATAGAAATTCTTATTGAAACTCAACTAAACTTCCATTTTATAGCTTGACACAGAAGTATTTTAGTCTACTCGCATATATTTGTTGTGTTTATTAATAATTGTCCCTTTTTCTGTTCAAAGTGCGTGAACTAACAAGACGGACTGATGGACGGGACCTGAAAGCTCAACGTGTACGTTCAGACGTGCAGACTGAAGACGGATGGGACGAATCAGAGCTCAGAAGCTTTCCTGTTTCTGATTATCATCTGAAGAACGAAAGCTGCAGAGGAGGGAATTATAAGCACTTAAACGGTGAAATACCCTCTGATTATGTGTTTGGGAGGAAACGGACATGTTCTTTAAGAAGAGAGAAGAAACAGCCAAACCAGAGAGCAGGACTGGTGGGACTTCAAACAGACCCTGAAGCACCGCAGCAGGAAACAAAGAACCACAGGAGCAATGTGAACTCTGAAAAGACCCCTGATGCACACTTTAGATTAAGCACGTTTCTCCAAGACTCTAACTCTGTGGTGAAAGGACAAAGAGTAAATAAAACCGGAGTTTATCAGAATAACTTTACAGAAACACATCTCTCTAATTGTAGTGCAACAAGACACAGAATCACGTCTTCACGAACTGAAGTCGTCGACAGTCAAACGGAGGCTGCTGTGAGAAGACGAGAAATGCTTCTGAAACCCAGAGGAACGTCTGTCAGAGACGTTGGCTATTCTCCTGTGAAGACGCGTGGTCTTTGCTCTTCACTTCCATCCCCCTCGCCGTGCTCGTGCTGTCACCGCAGAGCAAAAGAAGACGGTCTGAAGAGAAATAAGACGCAGAAGCAGCTGATTGAAGACACCAAACATGGGAGCCTAAAAACTGAAACAAAAAGAGAGAAATCTACGAGTCAGACGGAGACGAGGAGCGTTAACATGTCTGAAAACAAAGGCACAAGAAAGGCCTGGAGGTGACGGAATAAAAAGATGTGTCACAAGATTAAAGTTTATTTTTATATTTATTCACAGGATCATGTGACTGATAAACTGATGACTAGTTGTGCCTTCTGGTCAACAGTAAGTTCAGTCAGATCATCTGGACGGTTTCTTTTTTCTTTTTTTAGATGTTTCATCCTTCATCCAAAGGACTTCATCAGCCACAACAAACTGAGTCCCACAAGCAGCAAACCCACATAGTGGGCCAAGCAGTTTGCTGGTGATAAGATGGTTTCTTCGATTTTTTTTGAACCACTTCGGTTATGGCTACGTCAGAGGAGTTGACGGAGGAGAGGGTGGGCTCCAGAAACCATCTTATCACCATCAAACTGATGCGTCCACAATGGGTTTGCTGCTAGTGGGACTGAGTTTGTGGCTCCTTAAACTGAAGAAGTCCTTTGGATAAAGGATGAAACATCTCAAAGAAAAAAAGCCTGTCCAGATGATCTGACTGAACTTTGTTGGATTTTCTACCTGGATTACTGAGCATGAACTTTGAAGTGTTCAGATTATATCAGTAATGTCTTGCTTATGAACGCAGCTACATTTCTATGCAAGATTAATACATGTTGGGGTGCATTCCTTTGATGATGATCTTTTCAATAGGACAAAGGCGCCCGGCTCTAAAAGAACTAAAAGTAAAAACGGAGCGTTGAACTTGTGGATCATAATTTATGGATGGCTTCATGTTTAGTTTCTGTTTTTTAGTTTTCTGTTTGCGTAACAGCAAATGATGCACGGCTCATTACAATTTAGAGCAAAAAATAAAACTGCCTGAACTAACTGCTCTCCTTCAAATTAAAATTCAATTCAGTTTATTTATATAATCCCAAGTCACAACAGAAGTCATCTCAGGGCACGGAATAAAAAACATACATAAAAAAAGCTAATAAGTAAAAGTTATCTCTCTAGGGAAGCCATATTGTGTTGGATCTTCATTTTGTTGCAGTCTCCCATCCTGAGCAAGCACAATGGCAACAGTGGAAAGGAAAAACAGGAAGAAACCTCCAACAGAACCAGGCTTGGGCTGAGTGGCCATCTGCTTCATCCTGCTGGGTTTGAGAGGAACAGGAAGGAGGAATGGACGAAATGACAGGTCCAGGTGTAGTTTCTATGGGAAGAAAGACAAAAAACCCATTAAGGATAGAAGTACAAATACAAACTGGTAGAACAAGTAAAGAGCAGCAGTTTGTCCTCCAGCAGTCTGAGCCTATAGCATAAGGGATAGCTCAGGAAACCCAAGCTGACCCTAACTATAGGATTTATCAAAGGAAAGTCTTAATCCCAGTCTTAAAACTGGACAGTGTGTCAGCCTCACGGACAGAAACTGGAAGTTGATTCTGTAAGAGAGGAGCCTGATAACAAAAGCTAATATTTAACAAATTAAGTCTCAGTGTTTGCAGGTGAAACAGCAAATGCATAATTTTTCATACAACAGATTCTTATCAGAGGGTGAGTTTTGCAAATATAAGACATATTACTTTCTAACGTCACATTTCTGAAAATAAAGACCAAATGGAATCGTTTTATTTTGTGCAAAAAGCATTATAAATCCTTGAGTTTTATTAGTGTCGTAAGATCTGAATACCCAGAGCTGAAAGGAACCGAGAATGAACTCTTTACACACAAGATCAATTCAGTGCTTTGGAGACAGGATCCCTGGGGAGCAAAGAGAGGTCGTTAATCTCAGGATACTGGTCTTAGTGTCTTTGCTCAGAATCATTCAGCTGGTTGATGGTCCGTCTTGGTTCCAATCATTAATCCAAGATAAGGTACAGAGAGCATGTAGTAGGAGACACAGCTGAAGGGGCGTAGGCAGGAATCCAAGTGTTTGGTTCAGGTTTCACTGGAAGAGTAGTCACAAGCATTAACGCACACCAGGCTCAGGAAATATAGTAGGAGGCTGCGAGCACGAACCATAAGCAAGGTAATGCTCCAGCGTTGGATGAGAGCACTTCTCAGCTCATCAGAGGACTGGCTGCAGCTGTGGGAGAAGAGCGACCTCTGGTGGACAAACACTGGAACTCCCACAATCCGAATAATCTATGACCTTCCTGGATGCGCTTTTTCTTTTGGGATATTTTATTAAAAACTATTCCTTCAGTGAAAGATTAAAACATTAGAGGGATTTGAATAAAGTTTTAAAACTAAAATCCACGGGTTCTTGTTTTAATTCACTGGGTTCTTGAAGCTGTGGCGCGTTTTGATGCTGAACATTAGTCCACTTTCTGTTGTTCTGTGCAGGTTTTAATGCTGTACGTGTTGACGAAGTGTACTTTAATGGAAAACAGCTGGAAGACGACTCCTCTCTGCTGTCGGATCATGGAGTACAGCAAGCGTCCACTGTTGGAGCAAGAGTTAGCCTTCACAGAGCTCTTCAGTGTGTTCGCCTTGTCCCACTTTTAACAGAGCTTGAAAAGAACGATGAAAAAAATCCAGAACATTTAGCTGATTTTGAGAAATCTTGTGGCTCTGCTGAGGTTTAAAGTTTCTACAACCTGTTGAGCTGTCTTCATCTCTGGACCTCCAACATCAGCAGGAGAAACTGACATTGTTGGATGTTACACCTGGATTAATGAGCATGAACTTTGGTGTTCTGAACCACTTTGGCATGACTGTCTCAGAAGAGTTGGGGGAGACGGCGGGCCCCAGAGGCCATCTTATCACCAGCAAACTGTTTTTTTCTTCCCACTATGGAGTATGCTGTTTGTGGGAATCAGTGTGTTTGGTGCCTCCTCAGACTGAAGAAGTCCTTTGGATGAAGGATGAAACGTCTCAGAAAAAAAAAACATCCAGATGACCTGACTGAACTTTGTTGGGTGTCAATCACAATGTTTTTATAGTTAAACAACTTTTGTTGTTGAATATTTCTCTTGTCTGCAGATGTTTAACCAGCTGTTTTTGTGTACTTCTGTTGTATAGTAAGAACTGAAAGACAACTACAAGTGCTGCTTTAAAAAAAAAAAAAAGAGGTTTTGAACTTTTCCCTTCTCCTGCTGGACGATAACGCTGTCTGCCGATGAAGTCGAGTGAGGACAGCGAACTGAAGTCACCCAGATGTTGTCACTGGAGTTATATCAACTGAGGGTGCAGCGTCAGGCGGCTGCACCTGTAATCTGCGTGGTCATATCACACGAACTGTGATCAAGAGATAATTTAAACCTCTGTACTTAGATAACGTATGCTGCACAGTGTCTGAAAGAAAAAAGGAATACAGCGGGATGCAGATATTAAGGTGCGTCACTCCCGATAGACCGTCATGTCCCCAAAAATTTAATTTGTAGACGATTTACTATAAGGATGTCGATATCACCAGCATCCAAGGCCTCTGTGTTTGTGTGTTCAGCTGTTAGAAAAATACCCATGAACCAGCATGGGGTGCCACATAGAGGGGGCCAAACAGCAATGGGCACCCATGAAAAAATGCTGGTTTCCCCACTTGTCCCCATTGGCCAGACAGTTTTATCCTCTTGAGTCCAAAGCTTTCGTTTATCAGGCAAAATTCCACCTAGCAATTCAGGATTAGGAGAATCTTGTAAACATAAAAACCAACATTGTTTTTAACAAATGGGAGTTATTATACATTATTTATTTATGCACATAAATTTAGGAGAGGACAAGCTTTAATAAGTTCAATAGTTCTGTGCTTTTCTCAATAAATAATAAATAGACAAACGAACACAGTAGACTTAGGGGCGGCTGTGGCTGAGTGGTTAGAGCAGTCGTCCTCCAATGCAAGAGTTGGGGGTTCGACTCCACCAGCAGTCACATAACAAAATGTCCATGGGCAAGACACTGAACCCCTCATCGCCTCTGATGTGTGTCCCATCAGAGTATGAATGTGATAAAGCTCTGATTAGTCTCTTTAGAATGATTTGTTCAATTAGCTTTGTAGAGATCTAGTAGAGAGCTGTATGAATGGATAAATGAGGACACAGATTGTGTTGTGAAGCACTTTGAGTACCTCGATCAGGTAGAAAGGTGCTATATAAATATAGACAATTTACCATCCATTTACTTATGTATATCAGAAGACAATTTCCAAACTCTCATACCGCTCTACTTGGTAAATAACCTAGACACCAGCACAGCAAAACACCTGGAAATCTGTTCTGGGTTTTAGTTGTGGTGTGCCACCCCAATAAAAAATTCTGGGGGTACAAGTGGGACTCTTCTTCATCTTTCGGCTTTTTGCTTTTCCGCAGTGGACACAGTGAGTTATCCTCCTCCATCTCACTCTGTTCTCTCTAACTGCATCCATATACCTCCTCTTTGTCTTTTTCCTGGTAGCTGCTTTTCTAACATCCTTCTACCAGTATACCCACTGTCCCTCCTCTGGACATGTCCAAACCATCTCAGTCTGGTCTCTAACTTTATCTCCCAGTTGTTCAACCTGTGCTGTACCTCTCATGATCTCATTCCTAATCTTATCCATCCTTGTCACTACTAAGGAGAACCTCAACATCTTCATTTCTGCCACTTTCAGTTCTTTCTCCTGTCTTTTTGTCAATGTCTCTGTCTCCAGAACATACACCATAGCTGGTCTCACCACTGTCTTGTAAACTTTTCCTTTGACCTTTGCTGACACCTTTTTGTCACAAATCACTCCTGAATCTTTTCTCCATCCACTCCATCCTGCCTGGACTCTCTCCTTCACATCTTTACTACACTCCCGATCTTCCTGGACAGTGGACCCCAAGTACTTGAAGTCCTGCACCTTTGTGACCTCTGCTCCTTGTAGCCTCACTGTTCCACCGGCCTCCCTCTCTTTCACACATGTACTCTGTCTTACTACGGCTGACTTTCATTCCTCTTCTTTCAAGTGCATACCTCCACCTCTCCAAGTTCTCTTCCACCTGTTCCCTGTTCTCACCACAGATCACAATGTCTTCTGCAAACATCATTGTCCACGGGGATTCCTGCCTGACCTCATCTGTTTGTTGGTCCATCACCAGAGCAAACAAGAAGGGGCTCAGAGCCGATCCTTGATGCATCCCACCTCCACCTTGAAGCTGTAACAGCACATCTCACCACTGTCCTGCTGTCCTCAAACATGTCCTGTACCAGTCTAACATACTTTTCTGCCACTCCAGATTTCCTCATGCAATACCACACCTCAGCACTCTGTCATATGCTCTTTCTAAATCCACAAATACACAATGGAGTTCTTTCTGACCTTCTCTGTACTTCTCCATCAGCATCCTCAAATCAAAGATGGATCTGTGTTGCTCTTCCTTGGCATGAAACCATACTGCTGCTCACAGTCACCTATCGTCTAAGTCTCCACAACTCTGGAAGAAATGTCTTCTCTCAAGACATTTCCAAACCTCCACCCCAGTGTGAAGCATTATCACAATGATCTTATTATACTCTTATTGATGTTTCATGTTTTAACCTCCTGCAGGTTTATTTTATTTGTCCTGTCCTTGTTTGTTTGACAGATCGGATCTTAAAACTTATGGAGTCATCTCCCATGAACCACATCTTTAAAGAAACGTTCAGAAAGTAATGCACCCGTTCATACACACTCTGTATACAGCACTTCCGTATCTTCACTCGTTCACCAATGAGCACAGTGAGGGTATCAGGGTTGAGGTGTTTTAACACACAGGAAACCACTTTGGTCTCTGCCTCGCTCAGATAGCCGTTAGTTTGTCAAATCAATCAGAGCTAAACTCTTGTCTAGATTTGACTAAAACAGCTATAACAACTTTTAAATTATTTTAATTGTCTACTGCGAGCGAGCATTTCACCTATAAAACATTTAATTATTGATGCATGTGTTGCTTTTGAACATAAAAGCACAAAAACGGACCGAACTCTGACAACTGGACATTTTCAGAGAATTATCACGTCACCTCGACGGTTCGTGATCCTTGATCGAGCGTTTGCTCATCAGGGCCATAAACGGAATACGACGCGCACAATAAAACCTGATCGGACCAACGTCCAGCACAACGTGGAGTCTGAGTGGGAGCAGGCCTGCCATGTGTTAAAAGTTAATCAGCTGTCTTTTTGTGAGTAGATCAGAATCGGCCTAAATCCTTCCATCCCGGGCTTCATCCTCTGCAGCCAGCAACAGTAAAACAAAATAAATAAATGTACATCATAAACCAAGCAGACTTTTTACATGAAGCTATACTCATTTTGGAAAACTGTTGGAAACAGTTGTTCTCCAAAGGGAGGTTTGTGGCAAAGTTACAAACAATTATCTTGCCTTTACCGGCACTTACATCCTTGTCAGTTTGTTGAAATTGAGTTTATGCTAAAAGTAACAAAATGCTAAGGATAGCAAAAAGAAGCTTAAGCACAAGTAGCTATAAGTAAAAAACTTGTGATGAACTTTATGTAGCAAAGGCTAGCTAAAACATGAATAAAACAACCATTTAAAAAAGAAGCAATAGGCTATAAAATAAGGAAATATCTAAAAGCTGAATGTAGCAAAAAGTAGCTGAAAGCTAAATTTAGCATACTGTATGTTACATAAGGCTAGCGTTAAACCCAATGAAGTAAAAGCTCAAAGCAGGAAAACTTGTGTATTTTGCTACTCCTCTTTACACAGCTAGGCCTGGGATTATTTGAGGTTTTTTGAAGAAAATGCAACAACTGAACATTTAACAAAAAAACTATTAAATTGGGATATGTTGCCAAAAAATAAATAAAAGAAACAAATTCCCTGAGTCACTCAGTCCCATGACTTGAAAGTTGGCAACCCTAACTGCACCATATCCTTCAAAATGTTTATTACAACCATTTTGTATAAAACAGCACAAATGACGCACTACAAAGCAAAAATCTGTTTAAAATGGTGTCATGCGATTTAAGGGCGGAAAAAAAAAAAAAAGGTTTTGGCCACAAAATGTGTGGCAAACTCATAAAAATGGGCATGAAATCACGCTGTTCAGGCGGGGATTCCCCGAAATAAACTTTTACGTCCTTGACCTTTGACCCTGAGCCGGTGACGTCACATGCGTCTCGCGATACTTTTCAACAAATAAATACAGCAGCGGGAGGGACCCGTCCGGCACCATCAGTTCAGTTTCTTTTGAACAGTTTGGAAATAACTCTGCATCTTTCGGTAAGTTGTTTGCTTGTGTCTAATATATTATATATATATATATAAAACTAACTGTTGTGGTAGACAGCGTATTTCGGACCAGTTTTAGGTTAGCTTAAAACGGGAGGTGCACTTGACAGCCGGGGTACATTTTTCAGTACAACACTGGTTACGCTGTTTTACGGAAATAGCCGTCTGTTCTGTTTCAGATCACTTTATTGTATTTCTACAGACTAAAGTTGATACAGTGACTCTGAACATGTGTTAATTTTTGTTTTAAGGTTTCAAGCGTACAATGGCAGCAGCTGAAGTTATGCCAAATCAGGTGAGTTCAGTAAAGACTTGGAACTCAAATATTTTAGCTTTTTAAGGCAATTATTGAAGTGAGAGCTAATAAATTGAGGTTAATGGGGTAAAATTTTGCTCTAGTTTTTATGGCTGACACTTTTAAGAAGGGTTAAAGGTAAAAGCAGATGTCAGGTCTCTCTTGTAAATGAGTCCTCGAGGCTCAATGGGATTTACCTGTATAAATAAAGGTTGATGGATTTTATCTGTGTCTGTTAACAAAATGTTCAAGGAAAGTGCCATGGAAGGTGGCGGGTGACGTGCATTCCTTCAGGGTTTATCAAAGCAATAATCAATGTGAATATGGTTTGTCTTCAGAGCGTGGTGGAGAGGGTAACCAGCCTCCCTTTGGTGAGCTCCACCTACAGCCTGGTGTTCAGCGTTTACTCCAACACCAAAGACCACCACCCTTACATCAAGAATGTGCTCGAGGCCGCGGAGCAAGGGGTCCGCACCATCACCTCCGTGGCCCTCACCACCGCCTCCCCCATCATCACCAAACTGGAGCCTCAGAGTAAGAACTTACTAATCTTATGAGCTCTGGGAAATCTATGTCAAAGGTTCCAGGGCATCATAACAAAACCCAACGCCGGCCTTGTGTCATTCAGCGGCGATCGGCTGAGTCATCGCTGAAACTTGAAACAGGAAGTTTGACTCGGATGCGTCACTCTTGAACTTTCACCCACTTATAACCAGCCGTAAAAATAGAAACTTGTTCAGCGGTTTAATTTTAATAACATTTCTCCCCTTTCTTTTAGTTGTAATGACTTCTTTATTTCATTTCCAGCAACGATGCGTACCGGTAGTCTCATTTGTTCACTTCTTCCCTCCCTGTAGTCGCCCGGGCCAACGACCTGGCCTGTAAAGGTTTGGACAAGATGGAGAAAACTTTACCCATTCTTCATCAGCCTTCTGAGCAGGTACGGCACCGAGCCAAGTTGACTCAAGTCTGTATAGACCGTGGTCACAGCCTCCCAACATTTTGCTGCAATCGTTTTTTAAAATCCCAGATCGTTTCCAACGCCAGAGATGTCGTCACGGGGAAAGTGTCTGGGGCTAAGGGCGCAGTCTCCAGCACACTGGGCAGCGTCGCAGAGAAGACTCGTGGCGCCGTGCAGGGCGGGATGGAGAGGACCAAGGCTGTTGTCAGTGGGAGTGTGAGCACCGTGCTGGAGAGCAGAGTGGTCCAAGCGGTCAGCAGCGGAGTGGAGACGGCGCTCAGCGCATCGGAGAGCCTGGTGGAGCAGTATCTGCCTCTGATGGAGGACGAACTGGGTCAGTGGTGGAGCAGAAAACAAAAGTCTTTGCCTCCAAAAACATGTTTGGTTTCATAATTCAAGGATTGGTTATGAAGAAGCAGATGGAATTAGTTACTGGTGGATTTGTTGCAGCTTCTCAGGAACCAGGACTTATCAGATTATGGATTTTTAGAATCCGAGTTCTCATTAGCCGGCTGTTTGACCCCGGTCACACACAGAGTTTCTGTTCAGACTGAGGCTGTGCTCAAGTGATTTGTAGACGAGGATTTAATCTTTCAAAACCAAAACAACCTTTTCCAACTTTTATTTTGAAGACGTGTCTACATTTTCAGAGGGAGACAAAAAAAAAAACAGCCATTCACATTAAAACCTTCAACTGATCCAACTGAAACCACAAATGCTGTTTAGTTTTTAAGACGGTTTTGTTGGGGTCCTGTCTTGTGACAGAGCTGGAGGCCAAAGATGAGAACGGCTCAGACGATCTGAAGCCGAGCTACTACGTGCGCCTGGGCTGCCTCTCCGCCAAGCTCCGACAGAGAGCGTACACCCGAGCCGTGGCCAGAATACGAGACGGCAAGCAGCGCAGCATGGGCTTCATCTCTGAGCTCCACTCCACCGTCGACCTGGTGGGTCTAACATAACTAGCTGCCTGAGGATACCAGTTCATGTAAATTATTCCTTTAGGTGTTCATCAAAATAATTCTGCACTAAAAAGCACTTTTTCTTTAGATTGAATACAGCAGGAAGAACATCGGCAGCGCCAACCAGATGGTGAACAACAAGCTGAGCTCGTTGGTGCCGTGGAAGTCGAGCAGTCCGAGCCAGCAGAACGGTCACCAGGCAGAGGTGAGAGTCCTGTATGGCAAGCCAGTCTATCATATAATAGAACCTTCACAGCAGGTATTAAGTTCTTCAGTCCAAAGGAACATTTCAGAAATCACAAATGTCACGTTTCCCTTTCATGTGGTTTTCAGTTCCACTTTTTCATCTTTTTAATGAACAACATTAAAATGGTTTTATTTTGCGAGATAAAGTTTCATGACTTCAGTTTTCAACAATAAAAACAAAAAAAAAATTGTTATTTATAACTATCCCAAAATTGTTTAAATTCTTAAAAATACCACAAAGGGTCACGGGTATGGAATTTCCACCCCCCCACCCCCCCGCTAACGGTCAGGGAGTGGAGGTTCTTGTCAAGGACCGGTCCCACAGGTTAAGTGGCTTCTGCCCCACCCCCCAGCAACAATCGCAACATCAGTCACTCCATTCTCTTCTTTCCCCGTCTGTGCCCCAAGAAATATAAAGACAAAAAACAAACTACAAGCACAAACATAAAAAAAACAACTAATGGGTTGTAAAATGACTACTGGTAAATGGTGACTGAAGGAAATGCAACTTTATTAAACCAATATAACAAATTAATATAATAAAAACAAAAAAGTTTAAATCGTGTCTTCTGGTTCAGTTTCAGCCGTAGACTGAGGAAGTTCTCTGGATGGGGGATGGAATTTTTCACACTTAAAGGAACTGGTCCAGATGACACAATTTAACCTTTTTTGTTGTTCTCTACCTGCATGATTGAGCCTACAGCCATGATACAATCAAGTTAATTTGTCAACAACAAGACACTTGTGTAGGGTTTCTGGGCCCTGGTCCTGCTTTATGTTTCCTCATATTTCCAGTCACCCCTCAGTGTTCCTCCTCCCTGTGTTCCAGCTCTGTCCCACCTGTTAGGGTCTGTATATATTCAGCTCCTTGGTGTCTTGTCTGGATTGTCCTTCACTGGCTTTGTGATTTGTCTCCCTTCATGTCCTCCTTTTTAAGTACAGTAAGTTATCTGCCTCTTCAGCATTTTGTTTATTTAGCAAATAAACTATTTACTTATTTTACCGTAGTCTCTTATCGTCTTCCTGCACGTGGGTTCAAACATGTGCAGCAGTTCATGATAGCTTGAAGTAAGAAAAGTTATACTTCAATGACAAATATGATCAAATATAAATAAATATAAGGTTCTTAACACTTGGAATGGGCTTTTTTTTTGTTTATAAAGCAAAATTAGCATTTTTTTCCCTTTAAACAGGTGAGGACAATTAAAATAAAGTCTCATAGTAGGTTTTAGCAAGCTTGTACAGTAGTCTAGCTGATTATATTCACTGGGTTTCATGGACAAATATGACTGTATCAGTATAACAATGAAAATTTATCCCACACTGTTTATTAACTTTACCTAAAGGAAGCGTCTATAAAGGAAATTTTTTTGGTCCAAGCACTAAACCCTGAGGAACTCCGTGAATAAATTTGTATGATGAAGATTCATTATTTACATTTACACATTGGAATCTATCAAATAAATATGATTTAAACCAATTTAGAGCCAGTCCTGTAATTCCAATGTCACATTCAAGCCTCTGTAGTAGAATATTATGATCAACTGTTTCAAACGCAGCAACATCTGAGGACCTAGGCAGGACTGACCGACAGGTAGCCAACAGACATTTAAAAAAAAAAAAAACAAGGGCAATTAAATATTCTGTTATTGAAATAAAGACTAATAAATACAAAAATATTCTGTGTGAAGAACGTGATGGGATGAAATGTAACTTGAAACAAGAGACGTGAAAATAACTTCATAAAAAGCTGATGAATGCCTGAAATCGAGTTCGTTTTATTTCAGATATCCTCGATGGAAGTTTTGGCAATGATGAAAACACAATAAGGGAAAATTGACGTTCTTTATTAAAAAAAAACCAAATGTTTGTGAAATCTGAAATATTGATTATGGACTGGACGAGTAGCTTTATTGATCGCTGAAAGGTTGCGTTTGATTAGGAAGTATTTCTAGATATCTGCTGTACATGTTTGGCTGTAAACAGTAAATCAGCCGACTTGAATTTTGAGTCCCAAGTTTATACTGGGATATACTTTTCTCATCAAATTCAGTTTTAACCTAAATAAATGCTAATCTTTATATCACAACAAGAGATGAAAGTCTGACGATGGGATTAACCTGTCTAAATAAAGGTTGACTGAATCTCCTCCCTTCAGGTAATTGAATCTCGCACCTTAGCCCTGGCTCGTTCCCTCACCCAGCAGCTCCAGACCACCTGCCTGGTCCTGGTCTCCGGCTTGCAGGGAATCCCCCACCACGTCCAGCAGGAGGCGCTCTCCCTCAGCCACTCGGCAGCTCAGGTGTACACCAGCTTCAACAGAGCCACGGTGCTGGGAGACCTGCCGGACAGCGCGTTAGCCACCAGCAGAGTCCAGCTGGGCAGAATGAAGGATTCTCTGGACAACATCATCGATTACCTGGTCAACAACACGCCGCTCAACTGGCTGGTGGGTCCTTTCTACCCGCGCATGGCTTCGTCCCACAGAGCCTCCTCTGCCGACATCACGTCGCCGAGCTCCGCTTTCAGTCCGCCGCACACGGAGGAGCCCATGGAGGTGGAGATGGAGTCACTGTGTTCCCAGCAGCTGTAGATTCTGGGTTAAAATGCTTCGTGATGCCCGATTATTGGGTTCCTGTCCAACTGAACAAATTGTCTTTTTATTCTCAAACATTCGTTTTCTATGAAAGGTTGTTTTACTATATTTTTATCTGTGCTTCTTACTTTATAAATTTTACTGGAACTACGAATGTTATTGAGAATCGTAAATTGTGACGCGTTTCCTGTCCAAAGATTTTAACTCGACTTGTTTTTACATCAGTGTAGTCATGCTAAAATACCAGCAAGCTTTATGTTCTTTAAAAAATACATTCTTTATTCAGAACTTGTAAATAATTTTCTTACAGTTAAGACATCTAATATTAAAGTCCAAAAGGAGCATCTTTATGGAGACCTTTCCTCATCGCTGTAATGTCCATCCATGTACTTATGTGACAATAAAAGAGGATGCAGCTTCTTGTAACTCGAACGTGTTTATTTAACTCTTAACTGCTCCAACAGTACAGCGGTACCCAGAATCCTTTGCACACTTTTCTCTCAAAGTGACCATACTTCTGTATTTACCATACATTACATCTCCCCTCCTTAAGAGGATATCTGTAACTGAGTGATACATAGTTTTATTTTTCATCCACATTCTTGCATAAATCACATGGCTCACTAATAACGAACAATTATTTAACTGTAATTAACAATTTCCAACGCACCATCCTCCCTGAAAATGATTGAGAAAACCAGTCCCATGTCAACCATGAAACCAAATAGAACTGAAGTCACAACCTGTGCAGTCGGAACTGTCCTTGTAGCAGAAAACATCTCTCCCATGTCAAACTTTCTACATACAGTTGGCTACAGGTTAAGTTTAGCTGGTGGTTTACTCACTCTGCCAGAGTGAGTGACTACACCCTTCAATGTGTCCTGTGTGACAGAACCCATTGTCACTGGTTCTTCTGTCCACCCCGTGTCCTCCATTGAAGTGGTCACATCAGGACCACTGTTGACCGATGTGAGGGGAGTGGGAGTTGTCAGCAGATGGCATCTGTTCCTTCTGTATCGCTCCCCTTGTGCTGTCTCCACAGTGGGCATTTCTAACCCAAGAAGCCCGGCCCCACCCGACCCGATTTCGTGTTTTTTCTAATTTGGAAACTAGACTGGAGATGAATTCATAAAAAAGTTACTTTTGAATCAGAATCAGAATAAACTTTATTGGCCTTGCACCGAGATACAACGCGAATATGTACGTACAGTCGTCCGAAAGATGGGCGGTGTGCACGAAGCTGCAACTGTAGAAAGCGCGGCCTTCTTATCCTTATCAGATAATAATCTTAGATAGGAAAAGGGGGAGAAACATGAGGGTAGATAGTGCTATAGATGAAGCTTTTGTCCTTGGTTACCCATGACCCAGGAGAAATTTGATAGTCGGCCTGTCTCCGAGGCCGTCGGGAGTCAGATTTAGGTCAGATGTAGATAAGCTTGATTCTTGTTTTTCTTCAGGCAGAGATTACTTTTTTCCAGCCTCGAGTTCATCTGGGCGTTCATGCTGACGAGTCCCAGAAGCCGCAAGTGGCCTGCAATTCTCATAAATCGCCTCCACCTTACGGTTAAGCTCGTAAACCAGATGATTTAAAGTTCCCACAGCGAGGACCAGACCTTCACACTGACTCGGAAGCTTTTCCATGGCCGAAACTGCTGCCGATGTCTTCTTCAAAAGTCGATAAAACAGAGCCCCGCCAATGCCAAAAAGCAGAGTCCCTGCTATCATAATTCCAAATATGTAAACGTCTTCAACATCTTCTTGAGACAGAACTGAGAGGCACATCATCTGCCACACTCCCCACGAATCCATAACGTACCCCACAGCGTGAGTCTCAGCTGGACACGCTGGTTCTCCAGGATCTTGTCGCTTTGATGAAAAAATCTTATCAATAGAGTTGAACGCCCACGATACCAAATCCATAATCTTCTTAATTTATGTTCGGGAGATGTGAACCAGGCGCTTCAGACACACAGAGAGCAAAGCAGGAAGAAGGAAAAACGGGGGAGGGATGACAGAAGCAGCCACCTCGATGAGAGCCAGGGAGGAAAAAAAAAACAAGTACACTTGAAGTACAAGTTACTGATGTTTTAAATGACCAAAGAATGCATGTTCTGTTTTTTTTTCCTGTGTTCATTACAAAATGTGATGCTCTGTGCACATTTTCTGTTTTGCACTAACTTTTTGAATGTTTAATTTTGACGTTTTTCTAATATAACTCAAATTGCACTGAGAGCACACTTGTTTCACACAGTGCCAACAAGTGATACTTGTGTTTACAAGAATTTATAAAAAGGTTTGGTCCATTAAAGAGCTCAAATGCTCACTAGTATTTTTTTTAGCAGTGTTGACTGCATACGAACACAAATACATGACAAGTATATCTTGTGTACTTAAAAAGCCCCTTTAATGCAGAATGCCTGTACGGAGTGGATACTTGGTGTAGTCAGTGCCTCTCTTGCACCGTTTCCACCAACACTGCACTGAAGATTCACGGCTGGTTAGGCTGAGGGTAGCGGTTTGCACGGTCACAAGCCTCTTCCAACCAGTTGCTGTTCCCATAATCCCGCTCCCTCTGGCAGAAGTTGTGGAGTGCACAACAGGTGGCAATCATGGAGCAAAGCTGAAATGAAAGTCACTCCTTTTTATAAGAACTCTCCACAATGACTTCAGCTTACCGAAGGTAACCTCTGCCCCCACCCTGACTGAGCTAAGGTAAGCATTAAATGACTCCTGTTGAGGAGTCAGAGGTGAGGTTGGGTATTCTTTGATGAGCCAGTCAAGAAGTGGGTATGCAGGGTCACCAACAACGAAGAGACTGGTGTCCTTTCCTTCAGTGTTCAATTGTCCGCCATATTGGACAATCCAAGATGGCGGCTTCTTTGCCAGAGATTTTATTATAAATATTATGAGCTACTTGGGCGGCACGGTTGCGCAGTTGGTTGAGCGGTTGCCTCTCAGCGAGGTGGTTGCTGGTTCAATTTCCGGTCGGGGACGTCTCCTTGCATGCGTGGATTTTCTCCGGGTACTCTGGTATGGAAGGAGCCGCCTTCTTGGATTGTCAAATGGCAGGGCTGAAATACATTTAGTGCTCGTGTCATCATCCTTTTTCTTTTGTCCTCTCAACGATAAAAATTAGAAGTTAAACCAACTATAACAGAAGCGTTAAATGCCATTACAGAACTCGATAATCCCACTCTTCTGCATTTCTGCTCAACCGATCATGTAGTTTAAACCTCAGAACACAGAATTACTAGATTATAACTGTAAATTGAGCGAACGGTATATATTAATTGCATCAAGATTTATTTATTCTATGCATTTTTCACGAGCTGATATGTTTTAAACCAAATAGTCTAGCCCAAAATGTTACACTGATGTTCACTAGAAAAATTAAATGCAACTTTATATCCTTTTTAAAATTTTGAGAATAGATTCAAAGTCCAAATTAAGCAATAAACCTTTTTTTTGTTTTTTGCATTGGGCAATAAAAATGACAAAACAGACAATTTGTTTTCAATCAGCTCATAAACTCATTTAATGCAGCTCACTTCAGGACATTCGTTTTCATTCCACAGGATGGTAAGAGATCATTTTATCTACCATTTTAAAAAAGTATTTTCTGTACAACCAAGAAAACCAGATTTACAAAGTCAGTACAGGATGGAATCCCTTAAGACAAACTTAAGGGGACGAGGATGTTGGTTATAAAATCTCTAAACCGTCTGCGATCCAAATAGCAATATTACAAAAATAAATAATTCAGATTTTTTTTTTTTATGTTTATGTTTGGACAAAAAAAAAAAAAAAGAAAAGAAAAAAAGCGGTGTTAATGATTTTTAGTCTTTTATCCTCACCGTGGTTAAGGTCAGATTTGAATCTAAGCAGTGCAAAAGGAGCATTTTTACATCACCTCATCTGTACAAGTTACGCCCTCGGACATAAAAATAGTTCAATCTATAATAACTCTTTTTCCCAACAGTTCATCGCAGCACTTCTCTGATTTATCGTCTGCTTCATTATTCAGTGGAATGTCGTGTCAAAGTCTTTTTTTTTTTCCTTCTCATCACAGTTTCAGGGAAAATCCCTCTGCTCTGTAAAGTCCTGCTTCCTATTCAGAAGCACCGGAAACGTTAAAACTACACCGTCTGCTTGTAATAGTTCTACGTTAAGCACATCTACGCTAGAGAAACCAAAAGGCCGAGTCCACATCAGCTCTAAGGCAACACAGTTCAGGATGTTAGAAGTTACAGGTGCGGGATGTTTGCTGTTAAAACGGCAGAAATTCAAAGCCGGGCTTCACATCTTTGTCTGCGACAGCTCTGTTTGGGTGTTCCAGGATCAGTAGTGTGGCGCACGTTCCTGCTCGATGTTTTCCAACGATCCAAACGCAGTTAAGCGTTGCTGCGGCGATCGATACTTACGTTAGGCCCGCTTCGATCGCGGGGTGACAGGAATGTTGCGAATCCATTTTTAGCGACTGGGGATTGTCTGCGGCCTCCAGCCTGTTTGCACACAGACTTGAGCGCTGCCTCGTAATAAAAAAAAAAAAAAGAGGCAACTATGGTTTCAGATTTTACAACTGAATGAAAAATATGTACAAAACAAACAAAAAAAAAGTTTTTTTCAGAAAGTACACAAAGGAGGAGTCTGGTTTCTGGAACGGCTCACACTGATCTGATGTGGGGAAGAAGAAAAGGAGGACTGAGACTGCACATCTACACACACAGAGGAGGAGGTCCATTCAGTCTGTGGAGTAAATGTACAGAAACGTGGTTCAGCTTAATCCAGAATATTCACTACGAGCAAAAACATTCCCAAACTGACGGCGGCGTATAGAAAGACTTCAGAAAGGCAGGAAAACAGCAGCTTAAGACGCAAGTACCGTGTTTAGAAACTGGGGATATAGACTTTTTCTTTTTAAATAAAAAGTTCACTCTTCTTCTTCTCACTGCTGACCGGTGAGGTTTTGCATCCCTGCTGTTTAGATAATGAGGGGTCCGAAATTTTTAAGACACCACATGTCACAGAGAGTGGGTGGGTGATCGATGCGGTGCAAAGACTTGAGCTGCTCTGGGCTCAGCCCTTGGTAGGCCAGGTGGTACTCCCTTTCGAAGGCCTCTGCAAAAGAGAGAAAGTGGGGAAATAGTCAGAAATGGTATGTTTAATGACACAAGGCATGATGGGTCTGTTAATGGTTTCAAGGTGTATCATGGTGTTAAAAAGTTACGGTGTCAAAACCACTGCACCTTTAATGTTGTATTATTCCAAGGTGTAAAAACCAAAACAAAAAACGAGATAACTGTGTACATATTATGTTTGTTGAATAAGGACGCCATCGTTCGTTGATCCAAAAATGCTGCAGCCAGAGTTAGTAGGAGAGATCATATCTCTCCAGTTTTAGCTTCTCTCCACTGGCTCCCTGTCAAACCCAAATTGAATTCAAAATCTTACTTCTAACCTACAAAGCTCTCAACAACCTAGCTCCATCTTATGTTACAGATCTTATTGTTCCATATTTTCCTAACAGAGCACTTTGCTCTCAAGACTGCAGGTTTACTTGGGATTCCTAGGGTTTCCAAGAGCAGAATGGGAGGAAGATCTTTCAGTTATCAGGCTCCTCTCTTGTGGAACCAACTTCCAGATTCAGTCTGTGAGGCTGACACATTGTCCAGTTTTAAGACTGGACTTAAGACTTTCCTTTTTGATAAATCCTATAGTTAGAGTTAGCTCGTTATGCTGCTATAGGCTTAAGACTACTGGAGGACAAACTGACCTAATTTCTTAAAATTAATAGTTACAAATACGTACATTTGAATAGTTTGCATTTAATATTATTTCTATCTTAACATGTGATTCTCGACCTGCCATTGTGTATCTGTTCCTCCTTCCTGTTCCTCTCAAACCCAGCCGTTCGAAGCAGATGGCTGCTTGTCCTGAGCCTGGTTCTGCTAAAGGTTTCTTCCTCATGAGGGAGTTTTTCCTTTCCACTGTCACCTTCATGCTTGCTCAAGATGAGAGTCTGCGATGAAGTTAGACTCAAAACAGTCTGCTCCTCAGATCAATTGTGTGAACTGACTTTTTATGTATATGAATGTTTCTGTTCAGTGCCCTGAGATGACTTCTGTTGTGACATGGCGCTATATAAATAAACTGAATTGAATAACACACCCAGTTGTGTCATTTTTAATAATAATGTGTATGTACTGTCACTGTTCCCATACAATGGTGAAATTGTCTCTTTGCATTTAACCCATCCACCACCAGGTGGAGCGGTGCGCAGCTATTGAAAGCGCCCGGGGAGCAACTGGGGATGAGGTGTCCTGCTCAGAGACACCACGAGGTGTGCAATGACTGGGGATCGAACCCGGGACCTTCAGGTCCCGAGTCAGCTGCCCTGCCTCTACACCATCTCGGCCTCCATTTTTTTTTTTTTACTAAAGAAGGAACACTTTTCTCTTAAGGTGACACTGTTTTAAAACGAACATTTGCAACAAGGTACAAGAATTAGAGCGGCCATTTCGCAATACACGTACTTGTCTGTACATGCATACACGAAACATGTGAAACGTCATCATGAGTCCAAGTTCTGTTCCATTTTAAAGTATGCATCAAGCAAAGTTTTTAGTTTTATTTAACCTTTATTTAACCAGGCAAATCCCACTGAGATCACAGATCTCTTCTGCAAGGGAGGCGTGGCCCTGAACGCAGCCTAACATGCATGTTTTTGATCTGTGGGAGGAAACCGGAATACCCGGAGAAAACCCACGCAAGCACGAGAAGAACATGCAAACTCCACACAGATAGACCCCAGGTCCAACCGGGGATTGAACCCAGGACCTTCTTGCTGTGAGGCAACAGTGCTAACCACTGAGCTGTCTTGCTCCAAATACACGGCTGTGTACTTGCTCCACACATTTTATTGACGATACTTCAGGATGCATTTGGTTACAGCCGGCCAAAAACAGTGAACCCAGAGGACAAACGCTGACAATTGTTTTTACTAGAACTTTACCATACAAGCGGTACAATGATGTCCACGATCGCTGAGGGATTTGAATAGTGAATGTTTGTAGTTTTACATGAGTGTTTTCCTGGACTGGAACTGAACAGGGAATGCAAGTAAACCTTAATGTTTTTGGTGCAAGATATTCCAGTGGGTAGAATTCACATTATATATGAAGAGAGGTAGGTTTTTCTTCTCGTCAGAGGCGGCGCAGAGTGACGAATCCTTGTGAGTGAAAGGAGCAATTTTATCCACAACCTGAAGAGGCCTTGGCCACCACAGAGTAATCTTCGGCCACCCTACCAGCCACAACAATCATTTGAAGAAACTATACTTTTAAAGAAGTTGGTACTTGACTTATTTTTTAAGTCACATCACATTAAAATGATATTTTTGCTTATGGTTTCCATACTGTTAAAATCTCATGCCAACCCACGATAATATGTTTTATTTTTATCAATTTATCATTCACTCACCTACATCGATGTTCTCCCGTCCCAAGGCCTCCAATGACAGAAACAGGATCTCTCTATAAAGGCTCCTGAGAAGATATGTCAATGTCAATTTATAGTCTATAAAAACAACAAAAGTTGAGTAAAGTGCTTTACAATTCAATCAAATTAAAATGTAAAACAATAACAAGGACAAAACCATTAACTCTAATTGGATCTCAAACGCTGCCTGAATCAAACCTGAAAGAAAAAAAGTTGGCTCCTCAGCAAAGATTTAAAAGTCTTGATATTCTCAAATGTTGTAAATGCAGAGCTAAACCATTCCACGGTTTTGAAGCAGCAACTGCAAAAACTTGATGCATTTTAATTTGGACCTTGGAACAATTAGGAGCGCTCTGAGGAGTGAATTAACTGGAGTGTAGAAGTTCGGGAGATGACACAAAATACAAAACGTCTTTCACTGAGACTCAGCCAGACCAAAGTTAAAGACATGAATCAACAGGGCTGACCTCTGTCGTTTAACGCCGTCTGGACGCCGTTTGAGCTCTCGGATCAGTAGGTTGATAGGACCGTATACGTCGTTGGTGGTGATGTTGCGAACGATGGTGTTGAGGAGGGTTCGGATCTCCTGGTGGTCCGTTGGAGCCAGGGTCCCCTTCTTTTCCACTAGAAAACAAAACAAAAAAATTACAGGATCATCGTCACAACTGATGTGGCATTAACTGGGTCTCAGCGCTGACCTCTTCTGATACTGCAAAATAAAAAAAAATACAGTAGTCCCTCGATTCTTTGCGGTTCTACATTCGCAGACTCACTCTTTTGCGGGTTTTCAATGTAAGATCGCAAGTCACATGATTGATGGAAGGCGACTAACCAGAGCATTGTGCTGAGGGGCGGACTGGCCATTGGGAGCACCGGGACATTTCCTGGTGGCCTGGCCCGCTCAGTGATCGCCAAGGGAGACTAAAGGGTCAATTTGAGTCGCGCTTGATCATTAAAAATAAACAACCCATGCTGCTCACTCAGGTATAAGACAAACCCCCTGCCCCTCCTTTCTTTTTCCAGGGATGTCTGTCACAGCCAACAGACAGCCTAAGAAAAAAGAAAGGAAGGGGCGGAGTCTCTGCTCTGTTGCGACAGACAGCCTCAGAAAGAGAAAGGAGGGGGCAGGGGGGACTCTGTTCTGCTGTGACAGACAGCCTTAGAAAAAGAAAGGAGGCGGCGGCGGGGGTCTGTCTTATAGCTGACTGAGTCGCACAAGCGACATGGACTGTAAGCGACATGGACTGTTTATTTAAATTAATCAAGTGCAACCCAAACCGAACCTTTAATCCCCCTCAACGATCACGGAGTGGGCCAGGCCACCGGGAAATGTCCCGGTGCTGCCGATGGCCAGTCTGCCCCCGAGATTGGCTCAGTAACTGTAGCATCAGTCTGTCTGCTCTCTTTTGCTGTGTCCTTTTAGGGCGTTGAGAGTTTAGAACATTGTTAAGAACATTGCAAGAGTGTGGGAAGGGTTTATAAAGCCTTAAAATATATATAAATACTAAAATAAATAGAATGTCCCTACTTCGTGGATTTTCACCTATCGTGGGAGTGTCTGGAACGTAACGCCTGCGATAAGTGAGGGACTATTGGATATAAAAAACAAGAATTTACATGTAGCCCTACTGGTGGAATAAACTAGCTGTTAGGATTAGTCTTTAAAGACACAAGGTTAAGTTAGAAAAGTTTAGGCCGTCTTGGATAATAAATAAGAGCATAACTGTACATCTAGTTGTACAGAAACAGGTTGGACAACAAAATACGTTAGTGGAGCACATTTCTGGTTGTGTGTTTCGATGTCTGCCATAATAAAGCTATCTAAGCTACTGTACAGCGTGCTCCTCCTTGAGGTCCTGAGGTGTGCGACACTCAAACATATAATAGTTTGTCCACGTGTTCTGGTTAGATGCCTTCAAGTGCCGTCCTGTGCTTTGCCCACAAACAGCCCACACCACGTACAGCACACACAAATGGGTCTGGAAACGGTGGACGCAGCACTTTTTTGGACCATTTTCTCAACATAAAGTAGATACCTTTCAGTTTGGGAGTTTATCCAAGTTTTTCTTGGGAGTTTGTAGATCAATTTATTTCCAGCTGGAAGAATATATTTTTATTTTATAGTAAAGTCACCAGTTAAAAAAAAAAAAGAAGAAATTCCACTGTGCTGCATGTCCAGCTGCCTTACAACTCCAAACCTGTTGCCCGTTGTTCCTGTTTGATGTAGCTGTGATTGTCTATAAAACTTGTATCATGTGACTCACTGAAGGTTCTCCAGAGCAGATAAAGAGGTTCTCCGGGTTCCTGGTGCAGGTTGATGTTGTCCCACAGGAGCTGTATGTACACGTGTTTACTGTCCTGGGACAGAGACGTCAGGGGAAGCTAAAGGACGAAAACGAAAAACGCTCTTTAGATTACACAAGTGTCAAAACTGATACGATATTTTGTGGCAAACGTTCAGATTTTAACTGGCTCAGGGTGATCGAGTCCAAAAAGACAGATGAAACTCCAGAAAATGCATTTTCTGTGAAAAGGAGTCTGAATGACTTGTTTTTTGTTTGTTAGTTATGTTAAAGGGTAAGTCTGTCCATTTGTGAAGTGATGTTCTGCCATATAGTTATCAACAGAACCCCACCGGATGTGACAGCTGTCATGGAGCAGGGAGTGTGAAGAAAAGAAGTTTACTGTATGCTGGTGTGAAAGAACGCTACATTAGATAATATTAAACCTCAACACCGTTCCGTTTGTCGCCGTTTTCTCAACAGAATGCTGGTGCTGAGGCTGCTGGAAGTTTCAGAGTAAACTTTTGGACGTGTGGATCGGACGGACTGATATATTCAGCAGCTTCGGCGCCACTGGCAGAGAACAAGCGCTGCACACTTACACTGGCGTAGTAACACGAACGCTGTAGTTCGCATGAACTAAACAAATTGTAGAGGTTTAATATTAGCTAATGTAGCGCTCTTTAACACAAAAATGCTGTTTTTGAGCAAGGTGTTTTTTTTAAAAACCTGCCAAAGTATAAAAACCTGGTACTAGTTAGGCTAGCCCAGGGGTCTGCAACTTGCGGCTCTGGAGCCACATGCGGCTCTTTGGTCCCTCTGCAGAAGCTCTTTCAAACTTTGACCAAAACTAACATAAAACTGAATTTTACTGGCTGTTATACAAACAACAACCAAAAAGGACTAGTTTTAGCTGTTTTCCTGTCGTTTCGTTTGCAAATATGTGAATACTGGAACTACTATGAGTAAAACATGCTCATTTTTTTATGCTTTATTTCTATACTTATTTTTTCCACAATAAAAATAAATTTCATGTCTGCATGGTTCATAGCTTCATTAATAAAAAAAAAAAAATCTCCCTCCCCCAACTCTTTACAAAAAGCTGTTCTTTTCATTAATCTTAAAAATAGTAAAAATAGCAATAAATGTTGAAAATCATCAGATATTTTTAGCTTTATAATGTAACCCCTAGAGGCCATAAAAGGCCCTCCAACAAACCTCAAGTGGCACTCCGGCCACCGGTTGATAATCACAGTTGTAGCAGGTTGTTGCAGCTCTAAATAACTTTTGTGAACGAAGGCGTAAAAATGTCTGAATCAGTATTAAAAGCTAAAAGAAGCAGAACTGTAAATTAAAGCTATGAAGATGAAAACAGAGAAGCCGAAGCAGATTTGAAATAAAGTTTTGCAGAAAGCGATGAGATCTTAATGTATGACTGAAGGGGTTTTATTTAAAATAAACATTTTGAAAAGTATAAAAGTTATAAAAACTATAAGTCACAGCACCCTTCTCCTGAATGAGCCGATTGTTTTAATTAATAAATGGCAAAAACTGCCCAAAATAGTTTAAGTGCACAAACATTCGGAGGCAACTAAACAAACAGAAGAAAGTGAAAGCTCTTCAACCTGCACTCCGTTGTTGCAGTGTTCGGAGTTAAGAATGAGACCCGGCAGGTGAGTGGGGAGGTCCAGGCGACGGAAATACCACACCAGGTTCCAGAAGATGATGGGATGCTGGCTCAGGAACTTGTGCGTGTAGATAACCTGGACAGGCAGAGCCCAAACTTTAAGGGTCTTGCATCAGTTTAAAACTCATACAGCAGACTATGATTCATTCTTTACCTGATCGCCCTCGTTCTCCAACAGGGTCTCCAGCTCCTTCCGTAGAACCAGGGGGCTCAGGTACGGTACAGACACGGGCTTGGGATTCACACGTATCTTCCCAATGACATCCTGACCAGCACACAAAATTCAACCGATTAACCTGAGGTAAAAACACTTCCTTTAGAGATGTTCTTCATGTTACCAAAAGAATGAGCACGGACCGACACCTCCTGCAGACTGCAGGGCAGGCTGGTGGTGGAGGCCCCGTGTCCAGGTCTCTGGGAGTAGTCCAGGCTCTGCAGCGGACCTCCAACACTGTTGCTGCGTGTGAGCGAAGTCCCGCCTGATTTCTGCTGCTTCCCCGCTGCCTGGTGCTCCAGCAGACCCAGTGGGTCAGACTGGACCGGCTCTGGAATCAGACTGGAAACACAAGTGGAGTCAGGAGGGGGTTTCTGCAGGAAGGGGACGAGGCATGCACCGCTGCACCACTAGACAGATTTTAATGAAACTATTGTGATCCATTTTTCTTCCGTATGTTTTTCTGCATCTTTCTCATTCAACAGTTTTTGTTCTAGTTCAACAAATCATAAATCAAAACGTTCAGCTCTTTCAGGACAATCCTGCTAGGACTTGGTGCAACTTTAGCTTTTTGAAATATTTAGCCATTTCTTTCCTCATAGAAAATGAATTGAGCTCATTTTACACCCTTCAAATCTTTAGATCTGTTTACACCCTTTCACTGCTCTTTTCACATTTTGTTCTGCTTCAGCTTCTTTCGGATTCTTTGTGCAAATTTAAACATTTTTCAGCTACTTTCAGCTGTTTTGTGCACCTTTCTGATACTTTCTGCTAACTACAACATTTTTGTGCTTCTTCTAACTTCTTTCTGCTAGTTTCTGCTTGTTAGGCTCCTTTCAGCTTATTTATGCAAGTTTCAACTTTTTCCTGCTATTTCAGCTACTATTTAGCTGTTTTTATGCTAATTTTAGGTTTTTCAGCTAATTCCACATTTTTTGCACTCATTTACACTTTTTCAGCCTAATTCAGCAAAAATATGCTCTCTCAACTTACTTCTGGTAATTTAAGCTTTTTTCTACCTTTTAGCTACTTTTCAGCAGTTCTTAGCCAATTTCAGCTTTTTTCAGATCATTTCTACTTTTTTGTGCTCATTTCTGCTTCTTTCAGTCTAATTGGGCAAACATGTTCTTCTGCCTTCTTCTAAAGCTTGTTCTACATTTTCAGCTACTTTTTGTTTCACATTTATTTAGCTAATTTCAGCTGTTTTCAGATAAATTCAAGTTTTTCTTGGTAATTTCCGCTACTTTAAGCCTAATTAACTTTTTTCTGCTACTTTCAGCTCGTTTTGCTCCTTTCAGCTTTTTTCTGCTAGTTTCAGCTTTTTCTGCCATTTCAGCTACTATTTTGCTGTTTTATGCTATTTTTAGCTTTTTCAGCTAATTTCACATTCTTTGAGCTCATTTCAGCTCTTTCCACTTCCTTCTGATAGGTTAAGCTTCTTTCTGCCTATTCAGCTACTTTTCAGCTGTTTTTTTGGTTTAAATTTTCAGCTTTTTTTTAGCTGACTTCCTAATTTGGTGCCAATTTCTACTTATTAAACATAATTCAGCAAATATGATATCCTTCCATTTTCTTCTGCTAATTTAGGCTTGTTCTTTCATTTCAGCTACAGTTCAGCATGTTTTTAGCTAATTTCTTCTGTTTTTCAGAAAGTTCTTTTGCAATAAGCATTCACAATGCATTTAGCAGGAAATGCAATTTCTCTGGTTTATTTTTGTCGTGTTTTACCTCTTTTGTGTTGTGGGTTGATTCTCTGGAGTCTCCTTAGGCTCCTCCTCAGTGAACGTGATTAAACCTGGTGTTTTGATTTCGGCTGGACTGCTGGCTGTGGGCTGAGTACTGCTTGTGTGTAAACTATCTCCTGAGGCACTGGGATTCATGTAAAAACTGGGAGGGGCAAAATAAATAACCACAGAACAGTTGTATTAACACAAAAACAGGAGGAGTGGTGTGGTATGTGACAACATATTATCAGTCTTACTCGGGCATTAAGCGCAGGTCGTGAAACTCGATGTGCAGTAAAGGCAGGAAGGCCGTTCTACAGAATGGACAAGTGGTATTGAGATTCGAGTCGTCCACCGTCCAGCCCGCCATGATCTCCTCATCGTAAACCAGAGCTTCACAGGAGCGGCACTGGGAGCAACTGGACATCAGCACCTGTGTATATGGGGAAAAAAATGTTCAACCACTATAATAACGCTATTAACCCCTGGAAGGTCTCACTGGGTAATATTAGCCATGTATATTTCATTGTGTGTGTTTTTATGGATTTATTTTTTTCTTGCGTGCTGTCAGTAAACACAATTGATTCTAAAAAAGACTAAATATCTCTCTTTTTTTTTTTGGTCACAATTGTTTTAAATGCTCCCATAACCTCACAGACCTTTACTGGGGAAAAAAATCAACCACAGGGTAAGTCCATTATAAATGCATTTCTTTACTCCCATAGTTATCATATTATAAATAATGCATTATTTTCAGTAATGCTTTTTCTATTTTACCTCCATCTCTCTACCTTTGAATTTTCTATTAACTCTCCTGGTGATGTCTTGCTTTTACATCTGAGAGTCTCTGTAAAAATGTCTTTAATCCAGGGGTTATTAAACCACTACAATACTTTTTATTAATAAGCACTTTTAAAAAATACCCAAGGTAAACGTCTTATAAGACAATTAAAAACTATATAATCAAAGTACAACAATAAAATCAAAACCTGCTTCATTAAAGGAGTACATTAAAATGAATAAACAGCTACGTTATCCACTGTAACTGGAGAAGATATCGCTCCTGCACTCTAATGTTCACAGAGAACGACAAAACAGCTGTAAAATGAGTGTATGTGTCTGACCAACCTCAAGTGCACAGTTCTGGGAGATGCTGGAGGAGGAGCTCTGCTCGGAGTCGGGACACTTGCCAGAACGTCCTGGAGTCGGGTCTGCAGCCACAAATGAAACATGACATCACTTCAAACTACAAGTTGACCAGTAAGTGCTTCTCAACGGCTGATCCCGATGACAATATTTATAGAAATCAGGGCAACTAGTAACGGGTATAAAAAGCCGTTTTCAATACATTTGCTTGTTTTGTTCATTAAATATGTTTAATTTTTTTACATATTACAATCAGTTGGACAAACTATTTGGTCAGCTTCTACTGTAGCTCTCAGAGATCTTTATTTCCTGCAACCAAAAGGTGAACACAGTAACGTTTTTGTCCGTGCGTGTTTGTTTGTATGTAGCATTAGCAAAACATCTCATCAGTGGAAGAATTTCAATGAAACTCTCATAATGTAATTAGTAGATGCACAGCTACGACCCTATTGAAGATGGCCATTAGGCAACACTGGCAAACACAAAGGTGAAAATTTTACAGATACTGTTAGGTCTGTCACAATAACAAATTTTGCTGGGTGATTGTCTCAGAAATTATTGTGATAAACGATAATATTGTTTTAAATTGGACAATAATTGGTAATTATTGTCAAATTTAAGAAGAAATGTTTGGTAATTTGTTTTGCATGTAGTACCTTTTTCAACCACCGGATGGCAGTATAAGACTGAACCAAAGGATGGATAGTGAGGGAGGTTCCTTGACGTGACATGGGCTGTCTCTCTTCAGTTCTCAAAATGTCAGATGCTCTGTGTGGTTTGAGCTCTTTAGCGTAGCATTTTACACACAAAGCTTTTAAATAAAAATAAGTAAACAAGTTCTCAGCTTCTTTATGCAGAAAAAGAACTTTTACTCCAAGGCACGGGTTTCAACTATGAATTTTGGAGCTTGACAAGACGGAGGCGTTTTCCCCGAGGTCGGCCTGTTAGCTTAGCTCGTAGCTTAGCTTCTCAGCTTAGCTGCTTTTAATGATCCAAAAACGCGATTTTGGACGGTTAAATGGATTTTAAAGAGAAAAGAGAAAGGGAGGGGTCAGTGAAGAGCACCGGAGTTGAGCTTTTTGTCATCCAGTGTCTTCAATAGAAAGAGAGACACAAAGAAACGACAAAGCCGATAAATGAAAATAAGGTTGATAATTTTCATTTATCATGCGATTGATTGATTTATTGTTTATCCCGAGAGGCCTAGATACTGTGCTGAAAATTGGGATGATAGAAGCTGAGCATCATCCACAACGTTTAATATGAATGCTGACAGATCACACAAGAGCTCAAAATATTGCATGCAATAAGTTAACCCAAAATTACCCAAACTCTGTTCACTATCAGCACAAGATGATCTTAGTTTAAAACTTTGGCATGAATGGTGGCGGGCAATTTGACTTCCTTCAAAAAATACCAGGTCTTCAAGTGAAATTTGTTTTCTTGCTTCGTGCTTTTTGTGCTTACGTGTCTGTTGCGTTCCTCGGCCGGTGTCGCTGCTGCCACTGCCATCGCTGCCCAGGCTGGTGCAGCTCTGGTTTAGACCGTTCGAAACTAAACTGGGGCCGACTTTTTTCTCAGGACTCTCGTTCACGTCGTGCTCGGACCGTATGCGTTCGTCCAGTCGGGCGGGGAAATCATGGCCACCTTGAGGATGTTCGTCCTGTAGTGAAAAGAAGAGATAAAACTACATAATAATAGCTTTGAAAAAGTAACTATAAAATCAGTAAAGTCCTTGAGCTTCCAGACACATATACAACCCCAAATAGAAAATGTCACATTTGCTGCAAAAATGCAGTGTGAACGCTTATTGCTGAATGATTTTGCTGCAAGCTACTGAAAAAGCTGAAACTAAGCTGTAAATCTCCAATCTCTGAACTGTCACTTCTTGTTTAATACGAACATTTGAAAATGTAGCCAAAAATAGAATGATTTGCGAAAATGTTAACAAACAGCAAGAGCACGATAGCTTTGAATCAGAAATAGTAACACCCCCAGTATACTCCCGCGTACGTCCATACGCGGAGGTATGCACGTACGTACGCGGAGGTACGAGCGTACCCCCCAGGGCATGTCCGTGCAAAGCTAAATTTTTACGACAGCATACGCGGTGTTGCAAAATAAACTGCCCGGTGACAGACTGTTTTGTATGCGACACCAATGTATTAAATTCCCCTTCTTCATCCCTGATCTGGCCTTTTCTTTTGTTTTGTTTTTTGCCAAGAGGCAGTGATCTCTTCCTCCTCTGTTGATGCCATGACTGAAATGGTGAGAAATGAAGGAATTTGTCACGAGCGAATTAAACTCAGGTCCAGCGTGGCTGCAGGAGGGTCTGGAGATTTCCTGGTGGGCTGGTCTGATGTGTGGGCTGTAGAGCCAGCGCTCCCTGTTTTTTATTTTAATTTTAATTTTTTACATTTTTTTATTAACAACATATAAACATAACACCGCTGTGGCTGAGGCTACCAGTGCTCGTTTTATTCCCCCCAACCTGTCAATCAATCCAGTAGGCGTGTCAGCAAATGACCAATCAGCGAACTCAATTTGTCCTGAAGGTAAACGCCCCTTGTCTGTGAAGCTGCTCTGCAGCTGCTCAGGGTATACGCTTGAGTATGAAGTCTGAACCCTCTGCGTACAGTACACGTGTACGTACGCATAAACGGACGTACGCGGGAGTATACTGGGGGCGTAAGCCACTAGTGTCCACACGACAAAAATGAAAAACATTTAATGCCACTAAGATTTAAGTTGAATACTTTTTAAAGCCCTAATTTAACCTAAATCCATTTACTGGCAGAAACCATGTCCCTGAAAAAGACTTTATAGCATACATTCTAAAACCTGTATGTACTTTTTAGCACTGCTGGTGCATTACCAAATGTGCACTTATGCACCCCGATACAATCAGAGAGGCATACTTTTGAACCGTGCACTGACAACCGGCGCCAATTTTTGATTCTTCAGACCAAAGAATAGTTTTCCACGTTACCTCAGTCCATTTTAAACTAACTTTGGCCCAGACAGCAGCGTTTTTGGACGGTGTTCACATGTGCAGGTTTGACCAGCACTTATAGATGGCACAGCTGAGTTTATTTATTCGTTGTTTTTGGATAGGTTATTGAGTCCACCCAAGGATGTCTACTACAGTATATCAGAATGGGGTTGTGATTTTAGACCAGGGGTGTCCAATCGTGTTTGAGGGCCACAGTCCTGCATGTCTTCTGCTCCAACACATCTGATTTGATCAATGGGTGATTAATAGGCTTCTGCAGAACATGGAGAGGTAATTCAGCCTTTGAATCAGGTGTGTTGGAGCAGGGAGTAACGCAAAACATGCAGGAGGACCATGACTGAACAGTCCTGGATGAGACTCAAACAGAAAGCAGGCTGTTTTGTGACGGTGACGCTTTAGTGAGACTCACCTCATCATCAGAGTACGAGTAAGCTGATGCCACGACGTCCCACATTTTGCTGGCCACGTTCGCCGCCTGCTTCACGCTCGACTTCAGCACATTAATTTTGGGTCCTGACAACAAAGTGTCCATTTTTATGCCTGAAATTGTGTTGATGACGGAGCCCAGCGACGGTGCCTGAGTGGACTTGACCAACGCAGTCAGCGAAGAGGACCGAGTACCGTGGCTCGCCGTGGTGCTCCCATGGGTCTTTGTCTTTACTGCAAAGGTTTTTGAGCGAGTGACGGTGTTGAGGTTGCTTTTGGGCGTGTTGCTTGGTGAGCCGGTTGGAGTTAGAACAGGAGGGATTGGCAGGCTGGACCTCCGCTCCAAAGGTTTTAGGGACTGAGGGCTGCCAGCAGAGTCTGCCTGGGACTGTTGCAGTTCCATGCTGGAGGACTTGGCTCCCATGGGGCTTCTCAGATTCATGTACATTTCGATCTCCTCAGCCAGGTTACGGGCCACTACAACCGGCACAGACCGTGGCGGCTCCTGGCTGCAAACAGAAGCAGATTCTTCACTCTCTGACACCAGGAGGGAGAGCGGGTCGGCCCCAACCTCTACATCGGCCCTCTCCAAGGTAGCTCCTCGCACCCCAGGTTCCTCCTCCTGTGTTTCAGTTTGCTTCCTGTCGTGCGTCACCTCGTTTTCATCTCCCTTGCTTTCCTCCGACACTCTCGTGTCAGTCTCTGCTGAAGGCTTTTTATGAGATGAGCCCCTTTGTTCTTCGGGCTCTTCCTCCAGGTCTTCAAAAAGAGCTTTGGGCGAGCTGCTGGACGATGGACTCTGAGCCCCAGAGAGCGCCCCGGCCAGAATATGAGCATCTGCGCCCATTTGACTGGCCATGTGATCCACGTCTTTCTCCAGGAGCATTCCAGCTCGAGTCTCGGCGCTGAAGCTGCAGCTGCGTTCGGAGAAGCTCTTCTGACGCTGCTGCTGAGTCGGGTTAGCTGCATCGCCAGCTGTAAGCGAGGAATCTTCATCAGGCATGCTGTCTTTCCTACTGTGTCTTCTGAACAATTTTCCTGTTGCTGCAAAATGTAAAAAAAATTAGTTTCACTAAGTTTAGTTTCCAAACTAAAGACTCGCATTATTTTCTCCCATTTGTTCTTACTTGTTTCTCTACCGCCGTCAAAGGTGCCAGTGGACAGTCTGACGATACTGGGGACAGGCGAGGACACTTCAACAGGACTGATGGGCTCTGCCACTGCTACTGCACTGTCCACGGAGCCAGCAACGTCTCCTACTGTTGACAAAAAACAATATACTAAAAGAAAAAACATGACCGAAGGAGCATGTGAGGCTGAGAAGCAACTTTTCTTACCGTCATGAGCCGGTTTATCATTTCTCTGCTCAGCTGGATCAACATCTGTATGTGAAGGCTCTGCCAGCTCCTGATGCAACTCATCCTTGGACCCGTATCCCTGATCCGACTGCCTTCCTGTAGGAGAGGATTTAACACAAACCAGGATGTGGTGAGAAGTTAAAACACGTGAAAAAAAGAATTGGATGTTGAGATGCAGTGACGTTGGTAACTGCTTGAGACCTACAACTTAAAGAAATACTTCAGAAGCTTTGAAGTGAGACTAAGATTGTGAACAAATAGAATTTTACCTGTTGTAGACAGCTCTTTGAATAGCTTCAGTTAGGAGGAATAACGCTTTTCTGACAGTATTGATAAGCTGATCAGAGCAAAATCAAAACTAAAGATGTCTGCCATCTTAAAACCATTTTCAAAATGTTTAAAGCAAAGTTAGGTTAAAGTAAAAAAACAAAAATTCACTGCACATTCAATGTTATTTACAATGAAGACCGTGCTGTCTGTGAAATATGGTTTGTAAAAAAGAATATGTAAAGCATAACAGCGCAAAGAAACTGATGCAAAGTAATTTAATGTAAGGAACAATGAAATCGTGATTACCGGTAGATGAACCACTATCAGTATTTGTTTTTCCCCCTCACATCCAAAATGTTACAGCAGTTCAAGCAAACATCAAAAACTTCACACCCCACTTGAGGTGGTAACCTTTCTTCTTTATCAGAAAAAAAGCAAACTTCAAATTTGTCAAAAAAACAAAAACAAACAAAAACAACAAAACACACTAGCAGTAAAGCTGAGCTCACCCGTGATCATCGTTTACACTTCATGATCTTTTCAAAATAAAAGTATGATGATGGAATTGGATGCAGAGACGTTTTGAGTTTTTTTCTTTTTTCTTAATGAGTGGGGTGGTAGGAGGTAAACGTTTTAAATAAAGCTGCCCAACTGAAACAACTTAGTATCACTAACAAGTGCTGGTATAAAATAAATAAATAAAATAACCAAAACATAAGATGAGCGTATGCGATAAAGTTAAGACTCAAAGCAGTCAGTTGCATTCCTGATATGTTAGATATGTTAACTTATTTTTATCTATGAATGTTTCTGTTCAGTGCCCTGAGACGACTTCTGTTGTGACTTGGTGCTGTATAAATAAACTGAATTGAAAACCAGCAAAAACTGTTGCAACCGTCAGTCTGGTCAAAATGAATTTATTTCTCCAAACTCAGTTGTTCAACTAGCTATCTACAACAGGTGCATTATTATTTCTTCACAACTTTTCCACAGAACTGAGCTTCAGAAGACCAGAGTTGTCTCGATAAGAGAACCAGTACCAGTATTACTGTAGCTGTCTGCTGCGTCCTCGTTATGTTCCTCGCCGTTGACTTCCCTTGAGCTGTGAGCACTTCCATGACTCAGATCGTCAATACTCTCTGGCGATGCATCTGAAGGAGGAAACAGAAATAAAAATGAGGATTAACTAAACGCACCTGCATGATGAGAGCCGTGCGAGAAAACCAATTCGACTCCCACCTGTGGACACTATCTCGGCTCCATTCTTGGACGACGTGTAGTTTTGAGTCTGTCTGAACTGGGCCACGCCCCGAACGACGTTACGCAGCTTGGTCCACATGAAGATGCCGCTCCGGTATTGTTTTGGCCACGGGCACTCCAACACAGCCTGAACAAAGCAGATGGAAGGATGACTACGCAGCAGGACGAGACTCGGGACGTTCTGAAGTCAGGCAGCACAATAAACCTTGTTGTAGTATCCGTATGTGATGGCGTTGGGTCGTACTCCAGCTCGTTTCATCTCAACCAGGACTCGCACAGCCAACACAGGAAAACCCCACACACCGCACAGCTGCATCACCACCCTGTAGCACACCTGACAGCCAGATGCAGACAGATGTTACACAGCTCTTAGAAACCATCACCACCAGATGAACGACCGTATCTCTCTCGGATACCTCGTCCAGAACCTCCACATCAGCGGCCCTCATCCTCAGCAGCATGTTGTAGGCCTGCTGCATGGCCAGATGCTTGGACTTAGCCAGTCGCACCCTCGCAGGCAGGCAGATGAACCACAGGCTGTAACTGTGGCTGAACAGGTAGCGGCCCCACAGATGCTGCCTGGCGTAGAAACGCTTCGCCATCTTGTACGCCAGCTTGATCTCCTGTTGAATTGGTTACAGAAGCTTTCAGTTTCAACTTCATCAGGTCATAACAAAAGCTTTATCATCAGCCAGGGGTGTAATGAGACCCTCAGCTCTCGAGACAAGACTTGAACAAACATTTTAAGACAAAATATACACAGAGAGAAACAAATCCTGTTCTTAAGCACACTTGGAGGTTTTGCCACAAACTCAACTGACTGTCCTTTCTCATGAGTCTCTTCAGACCTCAGAACAGCTTCGACCATACTTGACCAAATTTATTAGGTCTATGTGACCTTGTAGCTCAGAGGAGAGTTCAAAATATTTTCACAAGGTGAAAAAAAATTAAAACCCGACGGCCTATCCTTTATTCAATTATTTCTTAAGTTTAAAAACATTGCAATGGTTTTCAGATGTTAACATATTATTCATGCAGAAACATTAAACAAAATCTTAATCAAATTATCAGTCAGAATTATTTTTTGTCTAAATGGACAGATAGAGGAATAGATGAATGGATGGATAGATGGATGATAAATGGATGGCTAGATAGATGGATAAATAGATAGATGATAGATGGATGGACAGAGAGATGGACGGTTAGATAGATGAATAAATGGATGGATGATAGATGGATAGATAGAAGATAGATGGATGGATAAATAGATAGATAGATAGATAGATGGACAGATAGATGAAACATGATAGATGGAGGGATGTTCGATGGACGGATAGCTGGATAGATGAAACATGATGGATGGATGGATAGATAGATGAATGGATGGATGGATGATAGATGGACAGACAGATGAATAGATGGATAGATGAAAC